GAAGTGTCTGTGACATGGTCATACCTTTGGGGAAGAAAGGAGCTAATAGTTAATGCATTTATAAAATATAGCTTCAACATCTAAGTTATCTGTTTGAAGACCTAACTAAGTACAGCTCTGTCAACTAGAGAGTTTCAGTTTCCATGCTAAATTTCCTGGCTGCTGTCAGTCTAGGCCATACACTTGATCTGAATTTTTTTCCCCATGTAAATAGACAAAAATATTCTCAAGTGCCATTCACGCACTTCAGAAATACAGTTCATTGGTCTGTATTGTGCCTGCTCTGTGCTGGAGATGAACTTAATTCTTCTTATGTGTGAAAGATATCTGCAATTTAAATGACTAATTGCATTGTAGCTTTAGGCTGAACATATTGGTAATGCGCAAATGTTGATGACATGTGAAGGGTCAAGAGATTTATAATTTAGTTGACAATACATTGCTTAAAATGATGTGGCAAAGAGCCAGAAAATTTCAGCTTAATAATTGTCTATTAACTAACATGACATATTTGTATAGTATTCATTACCTCCAGGTACAGATTAAGCATCTGATGTACCCATACGAAGTGACATGCGTACATGAATCTTGGGCATAATAGTGAATAAACTGACATTGCATTCGCGGTAATTTGTTTCAATATGTAAAACATGTTGTTGCCTACATTTGAAAGGACTTGTAGGAATGTTGCAGCAAAATCTGAGGAAAAATGTGTACTTTATAATAGAGTTCTCTATTATGTAGATCTGACAGCTTCGTGAGCCTTTTTTTGTAGGCTGCAGATAACATCATAAATATACATGCTTGTTTTCAGCTGCATGAGAAGCAGCCTGGAAACAGAGATCTAAACCTTTTAGACATTGGCTTTATCTACCCTAATGGTCTATAAGGTTAAAAAGAAACAAACCCCAAGACCACAACCACCTAACACAACCAACTTTATTTTTTTAAAAAGAGTTGTATAAATATTGGGCAATGTAATCGTTTAGTGCTGTGGATGTGGGAGGATTTCTGTCAGACCGAGGCATCAGTATGCTGGCTTGTCACCAAACTAGTATCTACTTCTTTCACTTTGTTTTCTCTGGCCTAAATTAGGCACTTGTTCGTACAAGCAAAACTGTCACAATTATGACAGGGTCTGTTCCTTTCGGTCTTGCTGCTGGAGGAGACTCGGGAAAGTGTTTGAACATTCCACCATGTGCTAATGTCTTTTTAACGTTTTTTCTTCCTATGAGCCAGGAATGTGTTCTGTGTTTTACAGCTGGGAAACTAACGTACAGGGTACACTAGATACCACTGACCTTAGTGTGACCAGATGTGACAGAGCTGGGGGTTGAACCTGGGGAGCTCTTGCTTCAATTTGCTAGTTGCTCTTGCCACCTTTCAACAATGGCTGTAGTTTTTCATTGTTTGGAGGAGTCGTTGAAAAGTGCCTTGTCACTTTGCTTCCTTCTGCTGGTGATATTTTTATTACATGTAGCAGAGCTGCAATAGCAGTTTTCTCTCTTGGGATCTTGACTCCAGGACTGGGATGTGTTTATGCCACACAAAAAAATTGAAATGAGAACTCTTGGCTTGACTTTTAACATTTGACTGAACACTTCAGTCCTTTAAAGTGTACTCCTCCCAAGAGTTTAAAAGTTTGTGTGAAGCCATTGAATTTGAGCAGCTCACTGAGCCTGACTCGAACTTGGTGGGAAGGAAGGTGCCTGCTGACCTCTGAGCTTTGTATCACAGCCTGTAGAATAGCTCTGAGCAATTTTGATATCCTTGTCAGTGTCCATGATCCAGACCTGTAGATCATATACTCCAGATACCTTGGAGACTCGAATAAGTTGATGATGGTAGCTCAGGTAAAGGAAGAACCTTGTCATAAGCTGTGACTCTGTATGAAGTTCACTCTTGCCTTTTTCAAAGAGTTGGTATTTAATTCGCCATCTGACCACTGGAGAGAGCTCTAGAGATCTTAAAACAGGTTTCTTGAATAACCTCTCAACAAAACTTGGCTGCTCAACAGCATGGGACTACAGCTGGAGTTCCACAATGTCTTCTCCTGCCAAGATCAGTAAGAGTAGTTGATCTCTGCCAGGTGTGTATAAAAGGCTCTAAGGATCAAGAAAGGATGACAGCATGTTGCTTGGGGAAAGTTGCTGATTGGACTCAATTCTGAGGATAAGTCAAAAGCAGGACTGCTGCTGTTGTGACCTCCTGGGGCTGATTTTAAGCCAGCTGGTTGTCTCAGTACTGTGAAGGGTGATTTACAGTGGTGCAGAGTCACATTGATGCAGTGCCTTACCTGGCTTACAAACAGTGTCTGTCAGCAGTGATACCCAGGTTGACTGGTAGTATCTGTGCTGGTAGTTACCCCTCCTGGGCTGCACGACTCTCAGAAGAGGGTCACAAAGCTGTCTTGGGACAGGCGGAAGACTAGCAGTGAAGAATCTCCCAAAAGAGCAAGACACAAGTGGTTGCTGACCAACTGGGAGGAGCTTAATAGAGTTGTCTGGGAGGAAGGAGTGGGTGCTGGGTATTTTTCAGGTCTCAAAAGCAGCATGTAGGAGCTTCTCTGCTGGAAGGGGTATATGAGATGCAAAATAGAGGACTATTGACTGTTGCCTAGGACTAGAGAAGGTTGACCTGCTGCCCAACAGGAATTTGCTCAAGTGGAGGCTCTGAGAACTGTGCAGCAGAGCACCCTCTCCTAAAGTGGCCTTTGTGTCAACTGGAGAGCTCAGAGTTGGGCATTTCTTAAGTAAGGTCTCGGACATCGACAGATGTACATGTGATGGATCATTGTGATGTGCAGATCTTGGACTGCTGCTTGTTCCAAATTCCAAAACAAAACCATGAAAGACCAGTGTTTGCATACAACTGTGGACGACAGTAGCTAAAAGGAGTTAGTGCTCAGCACTATAAATTTACTTAAGAGTGAGTTCCCCAACACAATCCCAGTCTGGACTGGAATGACTTAGGCTGTCTGTCAGCTTCTTTAATTTTAAACCATCGTGTACTTTGAGAGAAGAACCTTTTCTTTTAATTTGTTGGAGCAGCTGTTGGTTGTCAAAGAGCTCGTGACCCCTGAAATGCTCTACTCAGTAGCTCTGATAAGCCAGAGCAATACTATATGAAACGTAGAACTATGAACTGTCTGTCCTACCTAAAAAGAGTCCAGGGTAAGCTGCAGTATAACATCACTTTGTCTCTCTGCCCTGGGCATGATGGGTAAGAATTCAAGAATAAAAAAATCCATAACTCTGCCTCAAATGCAGGGAGCTTGGTGCTCCTGCCCTATTGTAGCATCTTGCAGCTACAACAGCTTCCAAAGCAGGCTGGGGGATTTGTGTCTGCCTCTTTTTTGTAAGTGAACAGGGTGCCTTTTTAAAGGTAAGACTTCTAGTCTAATGACTTATTTAGAGAGAAAATACTTTCACCTCAGTAAAGTTCTTTGAATTATAAAGGACATTGCTGTTGGGTTACTGAAAACCCTTGGGGTTTGTTTCATTTATAACATTGCCTCAGGCCTTCTGCTGCATCCTGTTGGATTGACCTCCTTTTCAACCCATGCTGGCAGCTGCATTGCAGAACTATCTTTTCCCTGGATCCTTCAGGGTTGTCATATGACAAATTTGAACTGTGACCCTTTTGTGTCTTACCAGGACAGCAGTGCCCTCTGTGCGATGTGGCCAGCAGTCTTCCCCACGCACGCATTTGTTCCGAGCCATTTAACAAACTGAAAGTTTCAAATGATGGCATTTCATAGTGTTTAATAGTATCGACTGTAAAGCAAATGAAATGGTGCTGAATACCCCGCATGCTGCTTGTAAGAAATACAGCTTCCATTTCTGCAATGTGCCCTGGGTTTTCTGTGGCTAGTGTGTGCTCTCTGGTGAATCTCTTTATATTTTTAATAAATTTCAATGCTTCCTCCCTAACAGCAGTAGCATTCAATGCTGTAGGTAGTCCAGCACTGGTGTTTGTTTCTAATATATGGGGTTTTTAAACAGATTTCTCTAAGCAAAGTGGACAAAGTCATTTTGCTGAAGTCTTGCAGAGAGTGTTAGGGTAAGAATTGATATAGTTAACACGGCATCCAAGCAACACCATCTCCAAGTGGTGTTGATGCTGGCAGGCATTGCCTTGCTGAAGTTACAGAGACTGAGCACTCGTATTTGTACAAATTGCATTCATTACCAAGAACCCTCCAGTAGTGATAAGAGACTGGCTGTGTAGCTAGATTGGCTCCAAGATAAGTAGCCAGTCTATTGTGCAGCTCATGGTAATCTTCCTCTCCCCACCCCTAATAATAAATCTTGGGGCATTTTGGAATGTGTGGGGGTTGCTCATGCCGGTAGCCTGAATGTATAACTACAAAACATCATCATCTCCTACCAACTGTGTTTTCAGGACCAAGCATGGCAGCTGGCTGAAATGGATAGGTTCAGATAGTGTTCTGAACATCTGGATGCCTTGACTGAGTGTTTGTTGCTCCCTTAAAGAACAGGTCACAGATGATAACTGGGATGAGAGTTCCAAGGCTAGAGCCTACTCACAATCATGGTTTTCTTCAAGAAGCGATGTAAACATCTGGAGCTTGGGAGCTTGCAAGTGGAAGTAAGACCTGTGCACAACCTGGGGCTCTGCATAGGTACAGAGTTAGTACCTTCTCCACAGTTAGCTTGTCCTTTCTTAATGCAAGTGTCTGTGTAGTAGACTTCAGTAAAATGGCAGTTATTTATCTTGCCACATTAACATATTTTTAAAGAAAGATATAGCTTTCTGGTTGCTTTGACTGAAATAAACCATCAGCTGGCAAGTGCTTGCTTTGTACTTTAAAGTATCAAATGTGCAAGGACTTCTGGATTGCTGCTTTTCAACATGTAAAACTGAACATCAGCAGGCTAGTTTTATGCAAGTAGGCTGTATAATCCAACCAGTTTGGTTAAACTTGTATTTACATGGAATTCTAATGGGGTTTTTTTTCTCCCTTTTCCTCCATTTAGGGTTTGAACAGCAATGGAATTACTCCTGGATCATCAGGTTTTAGCCTTACGAAGCTGCACTGTCCAAGAGTAACCCGTGTCTGTCTCAGGGACTTGATATTCTGCATGGAACAAGAGAGGGATATGAAGCATTCTCTACACTTGTACCGTGCTCTTCTGAAGTGATTTGAATTTTGCATTTCAACTTGCTGTCTACTGCCAAAGAAAACACTGAAGCATTGTTGCACTGTCTTGGAATTCCAATTTCTGGAAAATGATCCGTTGTAAGGATAACTCTTGTTTACAGATAAACATTTTTATTAAATACCTAACTTAGCACCTGTAGGGTTTTTAATAATATTTGGCTTAAATCAGTCTGTAAACCAGTGAAAACACTGAGCCGCACACACAAGCACCTGAGTACCTGCTTGCATATAACTGACTTGCAGGCTCTGAGGGCTTGATAAGTGTCCCTAGTTTATGTATGTCACGTGCTTCAGTACTCCAGAGTCTGCAACATCTGTTCTATGTGTAGTGCCACCTTCTAATTGAACCTTATTTAGGGAAACAAGGAACATTTTAATGGCACTGCATAGCATGGCAACTGTATTTAATCCTGAACCAGCAGTCAGTCAACATGCTGATGTATTGCCTGTCTGACTCAGCAGCATCTTAGGTTTTCTGGGTTTAGAATTACTGTCGGATGCTCGTTTGTGGAGGGCAAAGTAGCAAGCAAAAAGAATGAGGGGTGCTTGCCACCCCACATTTTGCCTCAGTTGCCCTCAGTGTTTCCTCCAAGAAAGCAATTGAGGGAAGGTGAACAAATTGATTGTTCTTGTGATTGAAGTACATCAGACAGTGTAGTTAGGGAATACTTCAATGTTCAGGGAAGATTTGGAGTTACTAAAAATAGAAGGAGTGTAAGATCCTAAAAAGGAAGGGTAAACAGGAGAAACAGTTTATCTTTGTCTAGATATAAAAAATAGCATTGAACTTGAGCATAGATGCAGAAAGAAATGAAGAAAAACAACCTGTGCTGGTTACAAAAAAAGAGAGAAGTGGAGAGGCATTGAAACACTGCAGCCAGAGACTCTCTTAAGGAGAGGAGCAGTGTTTGCAAAGCACAGGATTCACTGCTTTAGAATATTGGTTTAATACCTTAATGTGGTGTAACAAGGAAACTTCTCAAATAGAAAGTATTTGGACAGTTGCCTGGTTTCCATTCAGTAAGGAGGAGGACTCTGGGTTATTAAGAGTGCTAGAGTAGATTCAAAGAGTTTCTACTTGCTGGTAAGGACTGCCTTGCGGTGGAAGGAAAACCCTCTGGGTCACCCTTCTCCACAGCCTCCAAACATTTTGCCTTCCATGACACAGCACTGTATAGCATGGCTATTTCCCAGGACTGATGGGAAAGGCACTGACTGTA